ACAGAAAACACCTGCTGAGAAAGAACCGAATATGCTTTCGTTGTGTGGCCTCAACAACCCATGTCGCAGTACCGTAAAGTGCTTGGAGTGTCAAAGTGACAAACATCTAACAATCATGCATGCTGGAAAGTCGCCGGAACAAAAGGAATCCGAAGTAAAAGATCCGAACATTGACAACCGCCAAGGTCGAGACCCACCAAGTCACAGCAGGGAGAACGAAGCCACAGCGTAGTGTACTGAGCTCTATGGCAATGAACACGGTGGGTGATCCTGCTCAAAAATATGCCTGGCCAACATTTATGCCAAGACTCATCCAGAGAAAAAGATCAAAGCTTACGTCGATAACGACGATCAAAGCAATTGTACCCTTGCCAAACCAAAACTATTTGACTTCTTAAGCATATATGGCGAAGCCACTTCGTACACTCTGAAAACATGCACCGGTAAATCCAAACTAGAAGGACGGTGCGCCAAGCACCTAGTGATCAAATCGTTGGATGAGCGAAAAATCCACAAGCTTCCACCAGTAATAGAGTGTGACGCCATACCAGATAGTACAGAAGAGATTCCTATGCCTGCTGTTGGCAGGGCACACCCCATAGATATCTCATATACACTAGGTAGCGCATCTCGGAATACAAAACTGAAGCCAAAAATCTCAGCGGTTTCCCCCATGAAAATAGGCGGCGGCCATATTGGTCGTTCCCACTCATCAATGAAATGCTATAGAAAATACTATACTTTTCGAGGCTTTTTTGCATTTCTGGATTAAAAATACCTTTTTGAGGTACGTTCGCCTTGAAATCGCAGCTTTTTTGGAAAAGGGTACAAGAAAAAAACATTAATTGGCGATGTTGTTGTCTTTGAATCGCATTTTAAAGCTAAAAATTTCGAATTACGACATTGGCTTTATATACTTGTTTTGAATCTGTGAGTGATTCTCTGGTGAAGTATCGTCTAATCAATACATGTACTTACGGTTTCTGGCACCACTTTATGGAAATGAAAGTTGGTAAGTAACGTTTGGACTATCGGCGTAGGCAGTTTATACTGTAAAAAAACAGAGTCTGCACTTTCAGTTTGGGTAGTTTTCACTGTAAATCTTTAGTGAAATGTTTGAGACAGTCTGAGTCTGCACTTTCAGCTTGGGTAGTTTTCACTCTTAATCTTTAGTGAAACGTTCGAGACAGAGTTTGCACTTTCAGCTTGGGCAGTTATCAGTTATCACTATAAATCTTTAGTAAAAATTATGTTTGAGGCAGAGTCTGCACTTTCAGCTTGGGCAGTTTCATAGTAATATTTAGCTTTCTCTGATACATTCTGTGTAATCACTCACACTGGTGCTTACAGTAAAAGGTACAAGTTTATTTAATTTCTTTTTAATTTTTTGTCCAGATGAATTCTCAGTGGTCTTTTTTACAAGATGGTAAAATTTAACCTCACAGTAACTCTTGATGATGCTCTTGGTCAACTGACATATAACATGATTTTCACCAACTGGTGAGTCAAAAATATGGTGATCTAGCTCAGTAAAAAGATTGTGTATGGACAATGAAGCCAGAACATATGGACAATAAACAATGAAGCCAGAACAGAAGTGGTCAGAGCATATAAGTGTCTGCTTTCTGAGAACAGAACAGAACAGTATGGACAATGCAACCAGAACAAAAGTGGTCAGAACATATAAACATCTGCTTTTTGGGTGACCACTTTTCTTGATGAACATTTTGTATCAACTGTTTTCATAGTACTTCATCCTTAGGGATGTTTATCATCAAGTCTAATTTCAATCAATATAATAGTATACTGTAAAAAAACTAAAAATAAATTGCTTACTGATGAAATGTCCTGCGAAGTTTTCTTTTGATTTTTGATTCTGTCACTTGATCCTTCACTATTACTTCTTATACTTTTTGCATCAGGAATGACTTTACCCATTGCTATGAAATTTTCTGAGTTTAATTCAAATATTTAATTTTAATTGGCACCAAAACTTCTTCAGGTCTCCATTTTTTTTTTTAAATTGGACATTTTTTAATGATATTTACAGTAACCACTAAACTCAAAAGGCAAAAATTGAGAGTTTATCATGTTTTCAATTCCTGAGAGTACTGGCAAATTTATTTTATTTTTTTAGAAAAGTTTAATTATTGTGCATCTGATGAGTCAAAGAATTAGAAAACACTATTACACAAAGTCAAAAGTAATACTTTATTATAACAATAGAATTATTTATACAATAGTGAGTGCAACTATATTTAAGATTATAAAATCTACTGTGCATCAAGCAGTTTATCCCATTGACCTTACAATATACAATATACAATAATGCAAGAAGTAATGTCTCATTACAAAATAGGGTTTCCCAAAGCAGTTCTAAAATGCAGCTGATTATCAATGACCTATGCTGTTAATAATTACAGTAATTTGGCAGTTTGATTGCTTGAATTAAAAACAAAAGGTCTAGGACTCAACAGAAAGAAATATTTCTTAACATCAAATATTAAAGATAGTTTGAAGCATTCATACAATTGAAGGTTTTAGAAAGTTTGATTATCAACTACATTTACATAAAGCAATATCAATTATGTTATTATTGCCTGCGAATATACTAAGTTGCAATTATTCTTCTCTAGCTTCTAACACATTTTAATCTTGATGTGATTCCATGGAACTATAAAATAATATATGATATGTTGTATGTATGTAATAAATATACAAATAGTAAGGAGTAAGAACCATTTTTGGTGTCAATGTTTTATATATTGACTATTTAAGATTTTAAGTCTATTTTTGCCATTGATAAACTGTGACTAAAATATGTTTTTCAGTGTCGCTGTCTTTTACAAAACAATATGCAAATACATTCACAATTTTGCCATGAAGCAATGGCGATGGCTCAAAATGTTTTATTTGGAATTGGTGGAACTATATTTATATATACATCAACAATGATGGTTTGTCCATAAGGTTTGTCGTATGGGCGCCCTTCATACGGGTCGACAAATATCAATATTTTCGAGAGAAAAAAATTAAATTCTGCCTACCCGTTATTCACAATATGAAGCTCCAACGGTCTGGCATCATTTACAACAAGTTGCACACTTGAAAAACCAAAATTGACTGCATAAAAGAGGATTTATTGTCAACTTTGTCCATTTCCGCAATACAAAATATACAAATTATCACGCTCCGTGGGAACGACCAATATGGCCGCCGCACGTAAACTGCGACTGCGATCAGGCTTCAATTTTCGCCTGCCTACAGGGTGGGATGCGCTATCTAGTGTATATGAGATATCTATGGCACACCCTCATCTCAGAGAAATTGCTGACAAGATTCCTGAAATGGATCCTGAAGCTGACATTTTGCTGTTGGTAGGAAAAATGTGCCTCAGCTCCACAAGGGCCATGAGTCGAGAAACAGGAAAGGTGGCCTCCCCATGGGCATAGCGTTTGGACCTAGAATGGGTTATCCTGGGCAAAGTATGTCTGGACGGCGCTCACCAACCCGCTGATGTGTCATCGTATAAGACACATATATTACCAAATGGATGGCCTTTAGAACCTTGCCCTAACGCCTTGATTGTGAAACCTCCTGAGTATGAATCCAACTTTAAAGGAAAAGAGATGTTTAGTAATGGTTACTTTGATGACAGACTCGCAAAGAACGTTTTCGTATGCACTGAAAACGATGATAAGCCAGGAATGTCCGTGGAACACAGGAAGTCTGTCGATATAATGGAAAGAAATTTGGAGAAGAACGACGCTGGAAATTGGACCGCACCGCTGCCGTTTTGTCACGAAGTGATAACCTTGCCCGAAAGTCGCGGAGAGGCGTATAAGAGACTTGAATCTACAAGGAAAACGCTGGATCGGAACCCGATAATGAAACAACACTACTTTGCATTCATGAAGAACCTGTTTGCCAAAGGACATGCCGAACCAGTGCCGCCACAAGACCCAACTTTGCTGAAACCGTGTTGGTACCTGCCACACTTTGGGATATATCATCCGCAGAAACTTAATAAGATCTGTATGGTGTTTGACTCTTCTGCCGAGAATGGTGGTATATCCCTGAATAAGTTGCTTTTGTCCGGTCCTCACCTTGTGAACAGTCTCCTCAGAGTTTTGTTGTGCTTCCGGAAGTATTCTACTGCCTTCATGGAGGACATAGAACAAATGTTTTAGTTTTACTCCTTTGTTGTCCCTGAAGACCACAGGGACTTCTTACGGTTTCTACTTCTTACGGTTTCTCTGGTATGGCAACAATGATCCAGATGGGGCAATAGTAGAGTACAGAATGAAGGTACATATATTTGGAAATACCTCTTCGCCAACAATTGCCACCTTCGGTCTACGTAAGACAGCAGAGGTCGGAGAGCCGGAGTTTGGTTCCGATGCAAAGGAATTCGTTGAAAACAATTTTTACGTGGACGATGGTTTGAAATCCATGCCAAACAGACGACAAGCCATCGACCTATTGAAACACACTCAAGCAATGTTAGCCACAGGGAATCTACGTTTGCACAAAATATCGTCCAACGATCTGCTGTCTCCTACCTGAAGATCACCCAAACCGATGGACGAATTGAAGTGTCGTTCGTTTTTGGTAAAGCCAAGCTAGCTCCACCACACGCCACAACAATTCCTCACCTCGAGTTGTGCGCAGCGGAGCTTGCCGTCGAAATAACTGACATGATTCTGAATGAACGTGTTGTACATCCAGACCGGGTCATATACCATTCAGACAGCAAAGTTGTGCTGGGTATATCGCTAACAAAACTCGAAGGTTCTATGTTTACGTCACTAACAGAGTTGAACAGATAAGAAAATCCTCATCACCTCCCCAATGGTGCTATGTTTCAATGCAACACAACCCCGCAGATCTTGCAACTCGCTCAATAAAGGCCAAAGACCTCGAAAGTTCAATGTGGCTTCACAGTCCACAGTTTGTTCACCAGCAGAGTCAATCAGAGCCTGCCAACAGAATAATTAATGCCAGCCCCTCCATTCACATACGTGGGTTGAGACGTCTTCGGGCCATGGCAAGTTACAACTCGGAGACACAGGGGAGGAGCTGCCCAACATTTGCAAGCCTTAAAAAAAGAAAAAAAATAGCTATTGTAAATGCCGCCGGCACCCATGCATGTTCTTGCCAGAGTAATGGTGGCCTAGCAAGAACTATAATAAAATGTATTGTGAAATTGACATCCTGGCTACTAAATCCTGTATGTTTCCGCTTTTGGCGGGTTTTAATGGAAAAATAAATCAGAATTATAAAAATACAGGATTTACTGACTGACCCCAAGTATGCAATACTTTAATTGTTATTTACCATGTATAATGCCATATGTTTTACTTGTCAAAGGGAGGGTCTTGCCAATTAAAACATTAAACTTGAAAAAGAATAGTAATAAAAAATAAGATGGCAAAGATACAAGAATATCTTCCCTCTTCATGATTTATATGTTATTTTAGCTTGTATTTGTAACATTTACAATGCACATGGATCTACAGTATATCACCTTGACAAGTATAATACAAAAAGTTTACATTGCAAATACAGTTGGCCAGAATCTCCGCAAGGAAGGTTACTAGGTTTAGCTCTAATGGGCTGGTATAACTTTTCAATTTGTATAATAGCTGGGATCTCTGTATTAATTGCCAAACATTAACTTGTAACCAAATTCTAAGGGACCAGAAGTCCACCTAGTCTCCCTCGCAGCCG